GTGTTGATGATGCAGTTTGCTGATAATTGGGCTGATAATTAGGTGACGCGGAAGACGTTTGTTGTGTTGGCGGTGTTGTGCGAAATGCGGGATCATTTGACTGCGTCGGGTGCTGTGGAATGTAATTAGGTGGGAGTCGCTGTTGTTGTTGTTGTTGTTGTTGTTGCTGCTGTTGCTGATGGTAGTACGAATGAACGGGAGGAGGTGGCACTGTTGATGATACTTGTGGATTTTGCTGCTGAGGTATTTGCGACTGTCCCAAAAATGGTTGAGGTACACCATGCATTGGTGGAACATTTGATGGTGAAAACTGATTTGGAGGATATTGGGCCGTAGGTGCATTAAGTTTAGCCGTTGGTGGTAATGAGGGCATTTGTGTCGATGGCGGTTTCGTTTGATCATATGCGTTTTGTGACAGTGGTGGTTGAACAAACTGTTTATTCAATTCACCAGCATTTTCAGTTTGTTGACCATCTAAACGTAAAACTATTAAAGTATTCATCGAAAATTTTCTGTATAACAATTTCGACTTTGTTATAAGCAGAACCACATACTGTGCCGAAAACGTTCATATCGACTGCCTAACGTTTACTACCAAATTAGAGAAGTTTGCTTTTAGATGAATAGAGAAAAACAAAGTCTTTTTAGAGAAGAAAGTTTTACGTTGAATTTCTCTTAGAAGCTATTTACTTGTTTATCAACATTTTCATAATAAATTTTAACTATATCTTACCCATCTGAAATACTTTTTGTACTTCGTTATTTGCCATTCTAGTTGATAATGATGATTTTGATCTGATACTATCAGGTGTTGCTGATCTTTGTTGTTGTTTGTATGGATCAAATTCTTTTTGAACTTGTGTAGTTTGTTGTAAGGGCTTCTCGTGAATTTCAGCTGTTGATACATCAACTGGTTTTTCGTTTGCTGCTGTTGTTGTTGCTAATGATGCTGCTGGTACTTGTAAACGATCCAGGATTGTTTGTACAGAATTTCTTATTTGCTGCAATTCATGACGAAATGTTTTTATATCGATCGATGTCTCCTTTGCTGATGTCTCATAACCATCAATATACAAATATAATCTCAATATTTGATGAAAATGTAGTGCCACTGTCAGATCACTGTCATTTGACAATGTTATTTTATCGCCATCATCGTCCAAATATTTAATTATTAACTCGTCTGTTGAATTAATTTTTCTCTCAAAAACACGCTCCATCATTAGAGATAATTCATCAAGTGTTAATTCTTCGTTATGTATCATTATTTTTCGAATATCATCACCTAGTTGAGCTTTTATAATTAATTTACCGGATAATTTATCTTCAAGGGTTTTTGATGACATTGCTGTTGTTGTAGGAGTTGTTGCACCGTTAATGTTCATCGTTCCTTTAACTTTTACCGAGAGAAGATCAATTAGAGAAGGATTCTATGTTTTCACTTAGCCACGGAGTAGAGTAGAGTAGCGTAATGATGTGACTGAGTAATAATGAAACTTGTTCGGTTATGGCCACGTGGACAGGTTTTATCAAATCGGAAACATTCGTTGTTAATTGGCGGAGAATAAACAAATTAGAAACAAGAATGGTGTCTCAATGTGAGTGGACATATAATCAATTTCATTTAGCAAAATATATTTTTTTAATAAAAATTATATTTTTTTATGAAGATAGGAAATTGTTGTTTCAATTTCCAGCTTTTTTACGAGAACCATCGGCGCCCTCTAGTACCTGGAATAAACTTAATAATTTTTTTGTTATTTTGATGTAGTTTACATTTTGTAGCAAAACTTACATATTAAAGAATACAAATGAGAACTACAGATTTTAGGAAAAAGAAAATTTTAAACTTTTCTACTGTATGTGAAATGCATCAATAAATGTTATATGAGTTTTGTGCAGGATGCTCAAATCTATTTTTTGAAATCAGGACCTTTTCATTAAAAATCAGAAGAAAAACAGGAGAGTATCAGGCAGTTTTTTCCTGAACAAGCAAAACAAAAAAATTCAATAACTTTTTCAAAAACATAATTTTTATAAAAAAAAAATTTTTTGAAATATTTTTCGATTGAAGAGTATTATTATTTGTTACAGACTGCAGTACGAATTGAGGAAGAAGATTTTGATCCGATGGATTTGGAAGTTCACTAATCCCATCTTCTTCGTGATGAGAACATTCGATGAGCACACAGCGGACTCTTTCAATGTACAATTATTTAGACTCTTGATTCAGAAATTCTGTTTCTGAAACTGACAATCTCAGTTTTGAAAAAACCAAATCGATGCAGGAAAACAAATGGAAATCAGGAGAAAATGTTAAAAATCAGCTCCTGAAATCAGAAAATTTTATCATCAGAATAAAAGTCTAAAAGTCAGGAGTCTCTTGGCCAAATCAGGAGATTTGAGCACTCTGGTTTTGAGCTATCTTTCACTTGTCATTTAAATATAACAAACTAAAAGAACATCTTAGAATTGAAAATAAATTTTTACATGGATTTCAGTCTTTCTGATACATTTCTTTCTTTTCATAGTATATTCTCTAGTTTGAAAAATCAGAGAGTAGGCTAATAATTGCGTTTGGTGCTATACAAGTAGTATGAATGAATTAATTTTATTTTTTATATTAAAATAAACTTTTGTCATAGAAAATAAAATAAAAACGATAAAAAGACTTTTATTTTTTCACTTTTTTTACTTTTGTGGTTGATTTTAAACGTTTTGCTTGTTTTTCTTCTTCGTCAGCGATAACCATTGCCAATTGTGATCGAGATGCTATTCCTTTCTCTCGTTGTATCAGACATCGTCCAAATTCATCTTGTGTTTGTTTAATTTGATCACATTTATAATTTTTATAGTGATGTCTCAATGATTGATCTGGTCCGCGTAGTATATGCATATCTGTATGATGAAATAGATCAAATAAATCGGTATTATTAGATAAACGAAGTAAATATTTTGCATTTATATAATCGTTCATATAAAATGCTGCATTATCATATGAATATGAATTAAACCAACCATGATTTTTATGTAATTCAATTGTTTGTTGTGAAACATTATTTGTTCGACTAATTATATTTGGATAATATTGATAGAAACCAATAGGAAAAAATACTTGAATACTATCAATAACATTTAAACGACAACGATTTAAAAAATCTGATTCAATATCAACATAGGGTGTAGTAATAAATATTAATGCATTTTTTCGTAATTTTACTTGAAAATAATCAATAAGAATAAATTGATTATAATATTTTCCTGATAAAAATAATGTATGATATGTAATAGATAATTGTACACGTGTATGACGTAAAAGTTCAACTTCTTTTCGAATTGGTTCAAACCATTTTTGTGTTTGTTGTAATTCTATTTTTGTTGTAACAATATGTGTTAAGAGAATTTCTAATTTATCTCGTGATTCTTTATCAAATAATGTTTGATTACAATGTTTTAAAAATTTAATTGTCTGCTGTTGATCATCATGAAATAATGGTAATATAAGAAATATTTTAGTATTATCTGTAACAAATGGCATTGTAATAATTTCAACAAGACCTAGAAAAGAAAAATTTATATTTTATTATTCAAAATGGTCGAACAATCACACACTATTATCTACCTAATATGAATTGTTTGGAAAATACATGTCTAGATATAAATGATAAATAGGTGACTTTCATAAAATTAAAAAAATGAACATAATATGTGAATATCATCTTGGACGCATTAATTCTGCACGTTTTATTATTTCATTCTTATTTTCATCTAACATTTGTAAATCTAGAATATAATGCGTTCCTCTCGTTGGATCAAACTGACGATATCCATTGAGAAGATGTTGATATTTTAAACTAAAAAAAAAATAAGATCATAAATTAGTGTTATTCATTTCTAAAAATGATTTACCATTATCACAGTAAAATATGATGATTGCCACCGTTATTTTTTTTTTCTGTTACTAATTTTCTAGTAAATTATTAGATAATATCATGCTCGTGCTAAAATTGTAGTAGTTTGAAGCTCATTTTGTTTCAATTTTTATTTAATAAAACGTGAAAAAAACCGGTTATTATACGCAAAAGTTCAAACAATACGTTTTTTCTTTATATCAGTCGAAGTTATTTTTAATATCAGATATGTTTAAATCAACTAACATTAAAGTTTGAAGAAAAGTACGATAACTAAGATCCTTTACTTTATAGATAGTATTCACATAAAGTTTTCATTAATCATTCCAAAATATAAAAACCTTGTAATTTTACTATCGGAGTAAAATTTGATCACGCTTTTTTTCTACTTTACATTGTGCACACAGTACTACAACCTCTTAATTTATAGAATGAACTGTGTATTTTCAAATATTCATATACTCTCCACAGTTCATTTTATAAATTAGAATATCTCAAGATCTTGGACACGATAACAAAATCCCAATGAAAAACTATAAAACAAAAACTACTTCATCATTAATAGTAACAATCAATAATTGAAACGATTTGTAAATTAAAAAATAACTTTACAGATTTTTCTAGTTATTTGCTGTTTGTTTTATTTGTTCAGATGAGATAAACTCATTTTTTTTTCTGGTGAATTGTATCTCATATAGAGCTATCTTCTTCTATCATGTTTTGATATATTAAATATCTTTGTCGAAATAAATATTAAATTGTTCCAATGTTCTGAGCATATCTCTACTCGAAACGTATACAGAATACAAAGTAGAAAACAAAAAGCGTGACGAAATTTTCTTTTTATAGTAAAGTTACGTGACCGTGCCGTTTTTTTTTTTAAATTTAAATCGTACAATTCTGAAATGAAATAAAACACGATGAAGAGAGAAAAGAAGAAATTAATAAATTACGCTTGAAACGACAGCTACTGTAACTCTATCTAATGATTTTGAAATTATTGCCTTTAAGTGACTCAGATATACTTAATTTACCTTGAACCATATATCCTTTGCATTTGTGATATTGAATAATTAATTATTTCCTGTACATCATCATGATAATCCTCTGAAAAACAGACAAATTTTTATCATTCTTACAAATATTATATAAGATAGTTACGTTTCATTATTCCTACAACATCATTATCAGTTTCTAAATAAATATGTGTTTCATTAAAATAATCCCATCTTAATACATCAAATCTTGTTGATGGTCGAAATGGTGGTGGTACACCAACGGGCCAGGGAATTTCATTACAGCTGAAAAATAACGAATATTTCTAGTGAACAAAAATGATTTTTATAATTAAGTATAAAATTACCCTTCTGGTGCATAACATGATAATTGTTCAATATTTTGTTCATGTTTAATTATATCTTGTTTAATTTCAGCAATTTCAACATGATTGAAATACCTAGAAGAAGAAGAAGAAAAAAATATCATCTACAATTTTATCTAAACAAATTTAAATATCATATAATATACATTTGTAATTTTAACATTGTTTCCAAATCATTCACAGGATGTACAGTCAATGTTTTATTAAAGTCTTCACTTTTTGATAATTTATCAATATCTGAATCAAAATCAAATCTATAATCTACATAAGCACTATAATTTTGATTCTAAATATATTATAAATTGATAAATAAATAAATAAATAATCATTAATAGAAAAATGACATACACTAGCAGTATTTGAACATGGTAATTTAGCTGATTTCAAAATACATCGTCCAATATTATCTGTTAAATCTTGTGAATAAGCATTATTTGTACACCAATCCAATTCATCAAGAATCTTATGTAAAACTGTCTAAAATTAGAAGAAGAAAAAACAAGAGAAAAAAATATTTTTTTAATCTTTATATTTATAGGATAGTTTTTGAAGATAGTTTTATACCTACGCCAGATAGAATAATGCCCGAACCATAATAACAATAGACAGCATGAACATCGTCATATGATTGTCCCATATAAAGATCTTGTGAAATACTAATACGATTTAAAAATTCAATTAACTAAAATGACAATAAACATATAGATAGATATATTTTAAATAAAATAATATTAAATATTTTTATTAATAAAATTACTTTGTAACCTCTAATAAATGTATTATCTGGTACAATTAGAAACCAATCATAATTTTTAATTAATTTTTCTGCTAAATATTTTAATACATAAAATGGTTTTAAATATTTTCTTTTATCATGTATAGCTACAACAGTCATGCCTCGTGGAAATTCTTGTATATCATCATCAACAAAAAATAATATTCTAAAAAAATATTTCATTTTAGTTATATATATATATTATATATATAAATATGTATTATATATATAAATATGTTTCATATTATTTAATTATACTTTACTTGTTAACGTGTGATGCTAAACTTTGATTTAGAAAATAGGCAAACGTATTTAAATGTCCTATTTCACTTAGAACAGCTACAAGTACTTTATCTTTAATTCCTAATTCATCGGCAATATATCTTGGACGTGTTATTTTTGATTTATTCATTGTTACAGTTGATGATATTATAGATTTTGAACGATTTGGTGAATGAATAATTGGCTCATAATCTTGATTACCATAGTCTACTAATTTTTTTTCAAATTTTCCATCAACAGTTGAACGAACAGTTCTTAAATGTAGACTTAAATGATTATTTTGAAGTGTTTTTGGTATAAATGATAAATGAGTATCACAAACAGATATTAATGGTAAACAAGCTAAACTAAATACAAGACCAAGTGATAGTCCAACTAATAAAGATAATACATAGCGTGATTTTAGTCTTGTTCGATGAGATGTAACAGACATTGTTAATAAATAAATAAATTGAAATAAATAAAATTGAGCTGAAAAATAAAAATAATAGAGAGATATTTTTACTTCATTAAAATTTTTAGAGATATTTACAAGAAAGTTTTACTTTATAAAGTTTCAACTTAAAATCAGGTTTTAATAACAGTTTTTCTTTTAATCATCGTATAAATCACATTTGCTTTTGTTTCTATACCGCTTATACCTGATTACTTATTTCAGGTGAGAAAGGGAATGAGACAAATAGATTTTTCTTCAAGATAAATTTGAAAAATTTCATTTTCGTTGCGAATCCACAACAGCAACATATAAATTGTGGTAGTTGAGCCAAGTTATAATTTCTTTTTTCCTTTTTTCCTATAATATGATGGAAAAAATCATTCTCTTTTTTCGTTATGGGTGATGCTGTAAGATTTGTACAAGGAAAGACATTTCCTCTGTACATAATAAGACATAATAATCGTCTTTTTCTCTCTTTCTGTCTTATACGCATACACACACACACACACACATCTCTATTTTCTGTTGGTTTAGTCTCAATGAGTGCCATACATTCATAATCATTTTTTTCTCGGCCTTTGAAATTTTGTAATCTTCACAATTAACCTACGTGACATCAAATTAAAGAATTATTTTATTTTAGATTTGACAGGTGAGTGGTATGTACTTTATTGTACGTAAGAAACAACTTTTTATCACACAGTCACAGTACAGTATCGATTTCTCTTCAATTTCAAAAATGGATCCATGAATTGCCTATCAGATCTTGTGTTCAATAAAGGTGAGTATGACAATAAGACATTTTCATCCATGCAATACGTCAAGTCTGTTTTCCTTTCAATTACAGTTAGTTAAAGTGTCTATTCATTTATCATACTTTTTAGTCAATACGTTCTCAATCTTCTATTAATTTGATTTATATTTGTTTCGAACAGAACATAGTAAACTGACTTGGAAGGAGCTTATGAAATTGAAGATTAGAATCCGTATGTGGAAAAACAATTATCAAGATCATAATTCGTATGAAAGAAGCAAAATACATGGATGAAGAAAATTCCATTGAAATAGGTCAAGTATGCAATGATTTTTAATGTAAAATGCTTTAACATTACATAAACAAATTACTACTCGTTAAATAAATACTGTATTGAAGTCAATTGTCTGACTGTCTCAGCGACTATCGACATGTACTTATTTTTATTTTGAAAAACAAGTATTGCTCAACATTTTAAATAAATAGACAACTCTTAATGTTTATATGAATGATATATACTTTGTTAAATATTATCATATAGTCTCCCATATATGAACTGTACCAATGTCCTTGTCTCTAACAAAGATACTAAATAATCGTTGTATCGAATGATATAAAATTAATTTTTGTAAATTTTCAAGAAAATTTATAATTATTCCGAACGTACGAGTTTCTCTTTTAACTTTACATGTCTTTAGCCTACTTGCGAACTTTATCATGTAGTCTATCACAAATAATAGTGTAACTTATATCAGATTTACAAAAAATACATTTTACAGTTTTAAATCATGAGAAATACATTTCGTTATTTTTATTCTACATAAAAAAGAAAAAATACATTAGTTTTTTAAAAAAAAGTTCTCGTGGTGTTTGTGTTATTAGTTCAAGAGGGATCTTGTATTAGAAGTGGTCTTCTATTGTAGGGGGTAAGGATCCTCTATTAAAACAGACAAAATCAGTAATAGTTAAAAAAGAAGCCCTGACTAGCAAATAATCATCATAAATATACTTTAAAGTAGCATATTTGATCGATTTATATAATGTTTTCGCTGAGAGCAGCCGATAAAAACAAAGATAAACTAACGAGAATACAGAGTCTTTGACTTAAATTATGTACAGCGATTAGTACTACACGATTAGAGCCCTGCAAATTCAGGTTTTTCTGAACCCGAACCCGCCAAGATCCGAAGCAGTGATGATCCGAATCTGACTCGTGTCTGCAATTTTTTAAAATTTTTTCCAATCAAGAGAGCTTTCTAAAAATATTGTGGTTCTGAATTAGAGTCAACATATCATTAATCAATTATATGTATATTCCTCAACAAAGTTGTTTTTTCTGCTTGTAATATACTTGTAAATATCTTTATCAGTACTGAACGGAGCAGAAATAGAGTCATTTCGAACAAGATTGATAAACAGAAGACTAATCGTCGAAGCAATCGATTCCGGTACGTATATTACACGAATCTATCGTGCGTTCTTTCTAATATTCAATCAACTCCACAGATAATCCATCCAACAGGTGTAGACGCAAACCTGCAAAGCATTTTCCAAATTCAGATTCGTACTCATGGGTACAAATATGGATCTAGAACAATTTTGCAAGACTCTACATGCACTACGTACAGAAAAACTATTCCTCAACTTTCGAAAGAAAATTCTTTTTCGAACAAAACCTGGTATTAGTAAAAGATTTTGATTTATTTTATCACTTTGTCCCTAACGGAATATATACGAGTGAAAAAAGTCAACGAAATCATGAAAAAAAGTTTCTGTATGAAAGGATAGCATCCGCCCTATTCCTCTAGGGTATTGATATAGAATTTTTTTCAAAATATCTAGCCAAATTTCGACAAGAAATAAATCGTTCCAATCTAGCAGGTTGAAAATATATACTCGCATAGCATTTGAATATATTTGGACTTATTATAGATCAAAAATAGCCGAAACACCCGCGGCCTTTTCCTAGTCTTTCTTAAAAAAACACTAACGCGGAACACTAATCCGTGGAGAAAATTCGAAATAACCTTATTAGCGGATAAAGCACATCAACTTGTACTAGAAAAGATCAAAGAAGCAGAAAGAGAATTCGTTCTGTCGGATTACAACGACTAGAACAAAAGCTAGGCTAACAAATCATTAGCGCGAAACATGCGTCAATTAAAAAAATTCTACCAAACTAAAGAAAAAAAGGGAACAGAAGAAAATCAAAAGCTGGAAAGTACTTGTTTATCGACTATCAATGACGTTTGCTGTACAAACTTTGCTCAAGCTCTCTATCTTTGTTTTTGTTTTGAAATTGTATATAAAACGTCACGCTGTATAGGTAGACAAATAATTTTTCGACTCACTCTATACTCTAAAAAAAGGTCGTAGATTAATAAACTACAATAAAAGAGTTTTTTCCCGAAAAACTCTTTTATTGTAGTTTATTAATCTGGAAAAACTCTTTTATTGTAGTTTATTAATCTACGACTTTTTTTTAGAGTGTACATAATACACGATATTTCCTTTTAACCATTACATGTCTTTAGCCTACTTGCGAACTTTATCATGTAGTCTATCACAAATAATAGTGTAACTTATATCAGATTTACA